GGATGGGAAAGGGAGTCCGGCGCCGGCCGGCGGGGGGAAAATGGCGGCGAGGAACTCTCGCGATATGTGGGAAAAGCAGGTGGAAGGAAAAGGCAGGGCGACTTCTCGCGACAATTGAGGGCGGGCTGTGAAAGAGGAGACGGGAAAGGGAGTCTTGGAGGCTAAAATGGGAGGGGGGACGTAACTCTCGCGAGATTAGATGGGAATGAATGGTGAATTATCGCGACAGGTTCTGCCGTGGCTGCAGAAGAGCTCTCGCGAGATATGATAGGACTGAATGGGGAAGTCTCGTGACATTTCTTGAAGTGGGGGGGGAGTTCTCGCGAGATTTGAGCCGGCTATGTGACGCTCAGTTCATCACCTAAAAGGCTGCGGGTGGGAAATGGTTCGACCTCTCGCAAGCGGGTTGAAGGGAGAGCTCTCGCGAGAGTTTGGGCAGCGTTTGAAAGGAAGGGCGGGAAAGGGAGTCCGGCTTCCAAGAAGAGAAATGGTGGCGAAGAGCTGTCGCGAGATTTGTAGTGAAATCTCACGGGATTTGAGAGGAAGGCCTGTGGGTGAATTCTCGTGAGATATGGGGAAGGACTGGGAAAGGTAGTTCATTTTCTGAGGGGGAGCAATCTCGCGAGGTGTGGTGAGAAGAGGAGGAGAATTCTTCTGGACTATAGTCAGAGCCGCAGAGAACTCTCGCGAGATAGCGAAGCAAGCACGGAAGGGAAGACGAGAAAGAGAATCTATCATTTGGGGGCGAGTTCCAGGGAAGAACTCTCATGAGAGTTAATTGTGGGATCTCGCGAGATGTTGGGAGCAGGGCTGTAAAAACGATGGTGGAAACCAAGCCCACATTGCCCTCCCCGCGTCTATTATCGCAGAGCCTGCTGGGAATTGTAGTCCCATCACAACAGAAATGGCAGTACTTGCTGGGAATCGTAGTTCTATCACAAGGGGTTCTGGGAGTCGGAGTCTTAGCGCAAGGCATCGTTGGGGATGACGGGACTTATAATTGAATCGCAGGGGACTATAGGAACTATGGTTGGAATCGCAGAGCCTGATGGGAAATGCAGTCCCGTTGGAAGGCATAAGTCCCTCCCACACTGGGAGCTCGAATCACAGGGCATGATGGGTAACATAGCTGCAGCAAGGAGCACCATGGGACCCCGAGTTCCCAGGGAGCTGTTGTCCATGCTGCAGGGGATGACGGGAAATGTAGTCACAGGTGTCCACAGGGGGTCAAGGCAGGGAATCCGACCCCCTTTCTCCAGAGAATCAGACCGCCACGCACACCCAGGGCAAGGGCGGGCCTGGGGGCAGAACACCCCGCGCCTCCAGACAAAAAATTCTCAGGGCTGGGAAGCAGCAGCCCCCTTGTGGCCACGAGGGGTCAGGGCCCAGGCATGGCCGTGGCCTTGGTAGGGCCTGCTAACAAGAGGCAAAACAACCCTCCCAGCCCCGCACCCCCTGGAAAATCGCAGCTTTTTCTTCTCCTTTACCGACTCCACAATCTAGCACGATTCCCCGTGGCAAGGTCCCCAGCAAGGCAAGATGGATTCCAACCAGAAACCCCCACGTTTGTCCTGGTAACGGGGACTCCAGAAGTCACCTTCCCAGCCTATGTCCCCGCTTTTGTGCGCTGTTCTTTGCGGGGAAGCTGCATGGGCACACACAACCACGAGAGCATCAGGCCCGTTTCACACTCGGTGCTGCAGAGATCAGGGAGCCTTGATCGTGCCAAAGGCACCGCCAGCACCCACGGGGATGAGGGCCTCTGAAGGGAGGGAGGTGGGGACAGCTCCAGGAGGGAAGCTGGCAGACTTGGCCGGGGCTGCGGTGATCCTAGACCAAACCCAGGCATCCGGGCTCCTGCTCTTGCCCCAGCCCCCAACCCTCCCGTCTCTCCCAAGGAAACCCCAGCGCTCTGACCCAGCCCCAAACCCTCCTGCCCTCCGTGCTTCCAGCCCTTCCCAGCAGCCTTTGCTCACGCCACCTCCCTGGGGATGCTACTGGTTTGCTGTGGCTCCTGCTGGCCAGGCATCCAACGGAAGAGGAGGCTGAGGGCCCCTTGCCATGGCACGCGCGCTCTGGAAACAGAGCCCGGGAGCCCTGGGCTACGCCCCGGGGACCAGAAGCAGCAATCCAGCCAGAAGCACCAATTTGGGGTTTAATTAAACCAAAAAGTGAGGGCGGGGCTAGGAACCGCAGCATCCAATAAGGAGGGAGGGAGGAGGGGGCAGGCGCCTCTGCAGCCCCTCCCCCCATCCCATTAACCCTTTCAGTCCCGGTGGGGTTGGGGAGGGGGAGGGACCCGTCACGACGTTGATACAGGAATAGAAAAAGAGCGCGATACATTAAAAACCAGAGGGCGGGGCAGTGTGGAAGGGAGTGGGGGGGTGGGGGTCATCATTTAAAACCACCATCTCAAACCCGTTATAAATGTACAAAAGGCTCCCGGCACGAGTGGGGGAGGGCCGATCTATATACAAGCTGGGGGGGGCAGCCCCGCCTTGGCAGGCCCCCCAAATCTTCCTGATGCCTTCGGGTGGTGTCGACGGCCCGCTCCAGCTCGTCCAGTCCAGCAGGGGGCACCCGAGTCCGGGGGCAGAGCCAGCATGCCCCTCATCAGGCCAAAGGGGTGCCAGAATGGTTGTTGCCAGGCAACAAAATGGCCACCACCAGGCCAGAGGTGGAGCCCATATGGCTGTTGCTAGGCTCCCAGGGCAACTCAGTGGCTGCCACCAGCCTAGAACGGGCACCAACATGGCCGTTGTCAGGCCCCAGGTCAGCAAAACGGCCACCACCAAGCTGTGCTAGCAAGGCTGTTACCAGGCTGGGGGCAGCAGAATGGTGGCCACCAAGCTGGGGTCGGAGCCAATATGGCCACTATCAGGCCCCCAGGGCACCAAAGCGGCTGCCACCAGGACAGAGGGGTGCCAAAATGCCCGGTGTCAGGCCTCACGGTGTGAAATTGGCTGCCGTTCGGCTGGAAGGGCTGCCAAAATGGTAGTCACCAGGCACCAAAATGGCTGCCACCGCAGCAAAGAGGGTGCCAAAATGGCTGCCATTGCACCCGCGGGGCACCAAAATTGGCTGTTGGTGAGCCACAAGGGGTACCAACACAGCCAGGGAGCAGGGCCAAATGCCACCCCGTGCCCCTGTTGCCCCCTAGAGTCCTTGCCCTGCTCGGGGCAGGGGCCGGGCCGTGCCCCTTATCTGGACTCCCGGTCCTTGTAGGCGGCAGCGAGATCGCGGACGTCGGGGGGCCGCCGGGGCGAGGCAGAGCGGGCGGTGGGCGTGGCGGCCGCGGGGATGAGGGGAGGTGGGGCGCTGAGCAGCCCGGCAGTGGCGCCAGGGGGCGGGGCTGGCGAGGCAGAGGGCGGGGCCTTGCCCAGCAGCGCAGCGTGGCGAGGGGGGGGCAGCAGGCCCGGGGGGGGGCAA